TATAACACGTATGTTATATAAAAGTTATATTGTTGAGTAGGAAATTACGTTACATGTATGTTATATTTAACGTTGTGTTTGCTGGGATCCGTTCTGTTAAAAGAAAACAATTGCTTTTTATAATTTAAAAATTAATCTTCGGACAAAGTTTTGTATAAAAAGAAAATTCGTTTCAGAATCGAATCAGGATTACGTCGTTTCGAAGACCCAAGATTGTTTCCAATCATCTTGTACATATGTGGTATCAACGTCTAAAAAAAATTGATTGAACGTTGATTAAACGTCTATAAAACGTTGATTTCAATATCCATAAGACGTTGAAATGTAAAGGAAAATTCAACAATCGCGGACATTTTTACATTGTATGAAGGTTTGTGCAATGTTGATTCTATGTTTCTCAATGTTGCTGCAATATTGACATTGTTGCAATTCAACATTCATTCTACATTGATTCAACAATTCTGTGCTGTATGGGTAAGTTACGTCTAGTCTAAATGCACGTCTAGAAAAATAGCAATTTTGACGTCTTCTATTTTGAGTAAACTCTAATGATTTAGAATCCATTCATAATACATTATCCATTAAAAGAGAGTTTTCGATCAAATTTCGGAATTTTATTTTGTCGATTATTTATAATTTCTCTAGACGTCTATTCGATATTGAATCGACGTCTAATATGCCAGTGAGAAATGACTCATCAATCGACGTCGCAAACCCTTATAGAAATATCATACTAAGAATCATTAATAATTACTTATTATCCAGTATTTTTAATATTGAAAATAAGTAATTATCAATGATTCTATTATATCAATGATGATATTTCTCTAAGGGAAGACGTCGATAAATAAATCATTTTTTACTGAGATCGCGCGCGTTTTGCATAAAAAATTTATTCTAAGTGGAAACATCAGTTTTAGACTTCTTTTTTAGATTTCCGATTCAATTATAGTATTACAAAGATAGGAATGTCAGACTCGAAAAACATTAAACTGGAAGGAATGATCAAAGTCATTTTGCAAATAACTACATATCCTTATAGAAATATCATACTAAGAATCATTGATAATTACTTATTTTCAGTATTAAAAATACGGAATAATAAGTAATTATCAATGATTCTTAGTATATTTCTATAAGAGTAAACTTTAGAGATATTAAATAAAATAGACAGGCGAATTAATGTGTGTATTTGCTAGGTACGTTATAATATACTGTGAACACTGTAAGTATACATTTCATAAGCATAAATTGTAAGAACATCTTTGGAGTCATTGGAACACCGCGTACCGCTCGATCGTCAGGTTAAGCAACGCAGTCAGGATGGATGGGTTACCACTTCGAATTCGAAATTTTCGAGGCAGGATTCGCGAAAGTTTTAGCGTGTGTTTGACAATCTTCGGTTTCTAGCAGTTTATAAGACATAAAGAAAATTAGGAATTAAGTTATTTTTATGAAACAATCTAGTGAGAAATAACTTATTAATCGACGTCGAAATGACGGTTTATTAGACATCGATAAGACGTCGAAATGATGGTCTATTAGACATCTAAATATGGACCGTTTTTAGGTCGATATAGATCTTAATCTAGATTACCCTTATGGAAATGTAATACTGATAAGTAATAATTTGGCCATTTTATTACTCATATGAGTAATAAAATTATTGAACGACAGTAATTATCACTGGCCAAATTATTACTTATCAGTATTACATTTCTATAAGGATAGACGTGGATGGTAGGTAGACGTTTCATATAGACGTCTACCCTTATAGACATACAATGTGCTCGCAAAAGAGAGAGAATATTCCTTCTTTCTCTCTCTTTTGCAAGCATATTGTGTTTAAATTTAATTAGTTATACAATATTGTATCAATATTAATCGCATTGTGATTGTTGTTACGTCCTTTGAAACATTTACCGACAAATATGTCATTACATTTTTGAACGTTGTAAAAGTATATTGTAAATATAATCTACCACGATATCGTTACAGCGCATTGGCATTATTAGTTCCAGTACGATCGTTGAGGTTAGGCATTTGAACAGCGCATAGTCATCTAAAGATGGTGACCGTGTGACACGAGATCGAATCCCACGCGAATCTCACGAATAAATGAAACGACACAAAGTGTAAAATGCCAGTTTTTTTTTATTATTTAGACAAAATAATACTTCATTATACTTTTCTAAATATTTTAATTAATAATAATTTTTCACTGAATTTTTCTACTCTCTTAATAAAATATTATCGAAATATTAATGAAATTATAATGAAATTTTAATGAAATTGGGTCAAAATTGTGAATGCTTTTCAAACATATTTCAGCAAAAGTTCATTATATTTTCAATGAATTATTTCCATCAGATACAAATATCTCAATTGAGATCTTACATGCGAAATTTTGCGGAAACCTCAACTGAGAATTCAATTGAGAATTTAATTGAGAATTCAATTGGGAATTCAATTGTGATCTCAATAGAAATTTTTCAGTAGGGTAGTTAAATGACAAGGTTACTAGCATATACCACTAACCTTACAATATAACTTATAGTACAGTATTATTTTAAGGTTAATAGAATCACTTTTTAAATTGCAGTAATTGTCATGTTTTTGGCGTATGTTGATATATCAATATTCTATTTCTTTCGCTCAGTATTGGTTGCGTACAGAAAGCAGTTTTGTGAGTGCTCAATGACAAGGACTCATTAATGATATGATTTGTGAGATTTTTTCTTATCCCATACAGCACAGATCTTGCAGTAATATTGCTGCAACTTGCAGCAATGTTAAAAATTGCAGCAATGTTGTTGCAATGTTGTAGCAAGATCTGTGCTTTATGGGATGCTTGGTCGTGTTCAACAACGTTGGTCGGATGCTTTCCTTCTCTCTTTATCTCATTCTTGTATCTCTTTCACTGAAATGTAACGCGCGCACACGAATGCGTTGTCGAACTTAGCCCTGTAACCCTGTTTACATGCCTGACGTCTCAGCCAATCTGAACTATCGACGGGGAATATCACATTAGGCACTATAAATGCTTCGAAGCGCTATATGGACCATATACCGAACAAATTTCCGTTAGTGGTAAAAGCGAAGGAGTTAAACAGTGAAGGAGTACAAAATAAACCGTTAGAATATATTGAAGCTCCGCATTTCGACAAATTAACATTTTGGGGTATGTAACTCTCCATCTCATCTGTACTTTAATAAAATCCTGGTAATATAAAATTTATACGTAATATTTATTTGTATATTTCAAAATTGTGAGGTTAAGTTATCAGTCTGTGTTTTATCGTATGTTATAGCGACAAAATCCTTATTATGAGTGGAATACGCAAATATAAAATATATTCTAAGGGTCATCTTAGACGCTTGGCTAGATTAGAAGCCGTCTTTTTGTAGAAATGTATTACAAGCACAACAAACTTTGTCTTGCAGTAGTTCTAGTGCAATGAATACAGAATGTAATGAAATGTAATGAAATGTAATGAAATGTTTGCAAAGACGATAAATGTAGATGATAATAATATTGTTTATACATCACCAAATCAAGACATTGAACGTAATGATGTATTGCCTGAGTTGATAGAAGCAATATTTACAAACGGTGATAACAATTATTCTGATACAAGTAATAAGTCTTTAAGTAAAAACGTGGATGACAATTTCATTAACACTGTAGCTACGTGGGCAATAAAATATGGAATCACTCACTGTGCACTGATAGCACTTTTGAACATTTTAAATATTTTTACAAATACAACGTTTCCGAAAGACCCCAGAACTCTTTTACAAACTCCCAGAAATACAGATGTTACAATGAGTAATGGTCAATATTGTCACTTTAATATTAATAGTATCGTGCAAAACATAATATATGACATAAGAGAAAGTGGTATAAATGTTTCCATATTAGATTTGCTTATTAATATTGATGGAATGTCTATATCTTGGTCCTCAAACGCTTGTTTTTGGCCTATTCTTTTATCAGAAAATGTGTGTGGTAAAGTATATGTTGCAGGACTGTATTATGGGTATACTAAACCAAAAGATTGCAATGAGTTTCTATCGAAGTTTGTGTCTGATATAAAACCCTTAATAACAAAAGGATATATTGACAACGATATAACAGTTAAAGTAAATATAAGTGCATTGATTTGCGATACACCGGCCAAATCGTTTGTTCTTGCAGTGAAGAACCATACGGGATTCTTCAGCTGTACAAAATGTACCATAAGGGATGAATGGCATGGACGTGTATGTTTTCCTGAAATAAATGAAAATATCCCGTTGCGAACAGATTTAGAATTGGCAAGTAATAAATATATGGAAGAATATCAGCAAGGGAATTGCATATTAAATGAAATAGACAACTTTGGATTAGTTTCGTGTGTACCACTTGATTATATGCATTTTATTTATTATGTTTAGGAGTAATGCGAAAATTAATACGTTTATGGTTAAAACATATATTTCCAAAAAGAATTGCCAAAAGCTTTAGCAAACGAATTTCTGAACTGCTACGAAATATAAGATCAACTGTGCCATCAGAATTTAATAGAAGACCTAGATCTCTGGACGATTATAAGCTATGGAAAGCTACAGAGTTTAGGACGTTCCTTTTATACTTAGGACCTGTTGTTTTAAAAGGTATTTTAGACGCAGACATGTACAAAAATTTCTTAACGCTTCACGTTGCTATTTCAATATTGTTAAATAAAACCTTTTGTAAGGAAGATCATTATTTAGATTACGCAGGAAATCTATTGAAGCATTTTATTTATACTTTTACAAAACTGTATGGTAAAGCATATGTATCTCACAACATACACAATCTACTACATTTTGTCGCAGACGTAAGAAAATTCGGAATATTAGAAAACTTTAGCTGCTTCAGGTTTGAAAATTACATGGCGACAGTTAAAAAACTATTGAGAAAAGGAGACAAACCATTGCAACAACTTTCAAGAAGACTTGGCGAAATAGAAAGTGTAAATACGAAATGTGGAAAAATAAAAGTTTCAGGAATAGTTTTAGAAAAGCAACATTTTGATGGTCCTCTGCACCGAAAGGATAATATTATAGGTCAATACAAAACATTATGCAACTCATTATATATGATCCACTGCGGTGATGAAAGAAATAATTGCTGTATATTACAAAATGGAGAGTATGTAGAAATGGAAAACATTATTCAATGTGAAGATGAAACAATAATTGTAATTGGGAAACAGTTATTGAACGTACAAGATTTATATGACGTACCTATGAAGTCTTCATTTTTACACATAAACATTGTGAACAAAAATAATGAAATGCAAACTTTAAATGCATGGACTCTTAATTATGTGGCAGGAAAAGCTTGGAAAATTCCGTATGGTGAACAGTTTGTTGTGTGTTCTCTAATACATACATATAGAAATTAATGTACATACAAAATGTATATAATAGTTGTTATCAGCGATCCATTGTTAATAAATATATAAGTTAGGTAATAAAATTTAAGTGTAGAATAGTTCTAAATATTATTTTCAGTCCTGTTTGTAAATTGTTATATTTTGTTTGGAAATAGTCTTTCCATAAAATAAAATCATTAATTTTCAGTTAATTCTATAGTGAGATGACCTATACTGGAAGCAGAAATATGACCACAAGGAAGACTTTTAGTATTATTGAATTTGAGGATAATCTGGCAATAGTACCTTTATTTTGGTTCAACAACGATGAAACAAAATGCTATTATCCCACGTTTCAGGATCCAACAAAAGTAAAAAAGGCTATTGCGTCGCAATTTTTTCCTGAATATAACACAAACTGGAAAATGTATGACGTATTAAGAATCTTCTGTAGAACAAGTAAAATCAATTTTATAAAAATTCTATTACTATGTTCATTATTTGTAAATATATCGATATGTCCTTTCTATTATGTCTGTCTATATTTTCAGATTCATACAAAACAGCAAAAGAAAAACTACTTCTGGCTGAACAATTATCAGATTTCTCATCTTCAGTGCCTGAAGAAGATACTGAATCAGAAGATGCGAAAAAGAAAAGAAATCGAGACATATACGAGCTAAAAGAAGTTATTTTCCATCAGAAGATTATGACATCGACTCTGACGAAAGTCAGAAATGTAAAAAAATACCACTTTTTCCAACAGTTCCTGAAATATTATACGTTACAAAGAACCAAATGTCTGCAAATGAGAAGTTTATTCCACCGTTATCAGCAGCACGATGTGAATCTGAATGCGAAATAAATCCTGCTATACAGACTAAAAGTTTATATAAAGGAGCCACAATAAGTAAAAACACAGAACGGAAAATCTCGTAACAATCCGTCAAATGATAATGGTAATTTGCGAAATTTAATGACAGAAAAGCATCAAAAAAAGTCTACCGAAAACAATATCGTACTAATATTATTTTATAATATATTTTTACTGTTACAGAATTTGAAAAAGAGGTCCTAAGGAAATTGCAGTTGTTACTTAACAAAATAAATGCTGTAGAAAATAGAATGGTCTTGTTGGAATCATCATGTGCTATGCGGCAGTTTAATCAGGAAGTAACAAATGCTATACAGTATGCAGATTATGATCTGCCATTGCAAACTATGCTGACATTAAGACGAATAGAAGAATTATTAAAAAATAGTTCATTCGCAGATAAACTGATAAAAATATTGTGGAGTACAGTATGTCATTATTGATATGTAAAATCCTAAAATCCTATTTACTTCACCTAACAAACAAAATATTTACAATTTTACCTCACAATATATAATATTATTAAATAAAGTAATTCTTCTTTCATAGGTGAACATACTGAAACAAGTGGGTAGAGTGAATTTATCTAATATAATCCATAATGTTTTAAAAAAATTACTTTGCGACAATATTGCACAAAATTTTAGTTATTTGGGGTAGCGAAAAAAAAGTAATTTCAGTGCTCTCAAGCTATGCACAATCTTGAACAGTAAGTATTACGCGGAAAATTATACTCCCTACTGAAAAAATTGTCATAATTGAGATTTTCGCAAAAATCCGCATGAAATAATTTCTGTTAAGAATTAAATCAGAATTCAACTGAGAGAAAATTTCGATTAGTTTCTCAATTCAGAAAATAATTTACATTTTCTCTCAGTTCAGTTTTTAATAGAAATTTCATATGCGCATTTTTACGGAAATCTCAATTGTGATTTCAACATAAATTTTTCAATAGCTATCGTGTCCAAAACAACTATCAGAAGCAATTTTCCATAATAGTTCTTTAGAGTATTAAATATGATTTTTAGAGTATTTCACGAACTTCAGAATTATTACAATATTATATAATTAAATATTAATGTCGTATAATATAGTTATATTAATATCGATTTTTGTTTCTATTTGTAACTGATAGGAGTGGTACGATTTCATAAACCGGAAGCAAGTGATGCAGAGATTGCCGAAATCACATCGGGTTGGCTAGTGCATGCTAAGTGGCGACAGCAAAGAGAGGAGTATGTATATCTATTAATAATAAGTATTATGTGTGTTACAGAAATGTGATTATTATAATTTACTCGATACTTTCATCGATATTATAATTTATAAATTTATTATATATATATATATATATATATATATATATATATATATATATATACACTTAAAATTGAATTATATATGTAAAAACTTGTTATTTTTAAATGCTTGTACTATAAGGATAGATTACAAATTTTATGTTAATTATTGATATTTTGTTTAGGAAAAAAGTGATGCAGCAACAGTAGCGCGAAGCAGAACCCGACGAAGAAGTTGCGACCTAATCTTTATAAATTATAATATTTTATTAACCTTCCTGAACTCTCCCTACGATTTCTCAGATTGACGGGCTCATTTTTTTTATTTACTAAATATTTTCTTTTCTTTATTTTTTTTTAAAGACATCCTGAAATTGAGAGGAAACCAAAGTTTATTCTAAAAACATGACAAACCTTGCATATTACATTGTTTTTATGTATAATATATTTTATTTTGTTTATTTTATTTTATTGATTTTTATTTTATTGATTTTTATTTTATGTAATTGTTTCCTTACATTATACTTTATTTTATAACAATTGATTTCACATAAAAAGTGAATGTCATTAAATAAGAGTTACTTCAGAAAAGTAAAGTTTCTATAAAATATATATGATGTTTGTATAAAGAAAACATTTTTTACATTGCTACAACTATTACATTATAAATACAATACTTTGAATTTATATGAATTGTTTACAGATTGTGAGATTTCTTATTGAAGAAAGAAGAAGATTGACTATTAAACTATTGACGAAAAGCAATCGAAAAGTATTGTAAACTAATAATATGTAATCACTTCTTTGCCAATAGTCGAATAGGCTAATAAAATATTTTTGTACAAGGGTTTTGTTTAGTATTATGAAGGGTTTATATAGCGTCCGATAATAACAACATACGATATCCAACAGGAGAGCACCTTTTACTTTGGGTAATTGAATTCTTTATTAGAAAGCTATTCTCTTATTGGATATCGTATGTCAAATGTTGTATCATCGGATGTGTAAATCTTTCATAATACTAAAAAAATCCTTGCACAATAATATTATATTATCTCTCCATTATAAGGTCCTTGGCATGTTACATGAATATTAACATAACATGTCCTGCAAGGTTTCTGGTATGCAGGGTTGGGAAAGTTACTTTATAAAAGTAACTCGTTACCGTTACCGTTCCTTTTTCTAAAAAGTAACTCGTTACCGTTATTCGTTACCAATTTCAAAAAGTAACTCGTTACCGTTACCGTTACTCAAAAAATAATGAGTCGTTACAAATTTCGTTACTTTTTTTATATACAAAAACTTTATGCATGATTATTTATATAAAAATTATTAATATGCTGTAAATGTAAATAAAATTTTTTTTTATTAAAAATCGCAGATTTTATTTCAAAATAAGTTTTTATCGAAATTCTTTATTTATTTTTAAGAGAATTTGTTGCTCGATGGTATCATCGTACAAATGTCCTCTTTGCGGGGTTAATACAGAGCCACCTACACTGAACATGCGTTCCACAGAGGCACTACTTGGAAGCGCTGTGTTATACTTAAGAAAAAGTTTTTTAAGTTTTGGATAGTCATTTAGCATATCAATATTACAATTTTTTGATTTTAAAAACCGTTGTAGCTCTTCTTCTTCAGATTCAGTTTGCGTGCTTTTGTGTTGTTCAAAAATAAAAAAATCATCGTGCTCATCAGACTTTATATCTTTTGGAGAACTTTCAGTTGACTGGATTCCTAATAAATCTCCCAAGTAGATTTCGGCAAGTTTCTTTTTTTCTCCAGATAACCAATTTAACTTAAATTTTGGATGCAAGCATGTTGCAATTATTAATTCTTTTTTTTCGAATGTTGTACAGAATCTAAAATTAAGTAATAATAAATGAAGCGACATTATTTTTTTGCATTTTAATTAACTTGTAAAAGAGTACTTTGAAATAAAAAATATTTATTATTTTTATTAATTAAATTCTTATTTGAATTTAACACATGTATTAATCGCATATGTATTAATTAGATTATTGACCAAATCAATGAATTACCTCTTATCTAATCCTTGTTGAATAGCCGTAACCAATGGATGACAATCTATAAGATTAGATTTATTAAGGTTTTCTAATTTTTGTTGCAAGGTATTTAGGGTATATATCAGTTGGACACGGGGCAATTGGACACAGTCCAATCACAAGTTGCTGTTCCAAGGGACCCTACAAATGTCTCTAATCACACGGTGCTGTGATTGGCTGTGTCCAAATGCACCGTGTCCAAGTGCACCGCTCCCTGAAAATTATATCAAGTAAATTCGGAAACGTAACGATAAAAGTAACTGTTACTTTCGTTACTCGTTACCAAAAAATGTAACGAAGTTACTTTTTTCGTTACAAACAAAATTTGTAACGCCGTTACCGTTACAGTTACAAAAAAAAGTAACTGTAACGGTAACGGCGTTACAAGTAACGCGTTACTTCCCAACCCTGCTGGTATGTTAATGGAATGAGTGTGGACGAACATTTTCATGCTACTGAGAGCTTAATAGTAGGTTTATTAACCTCCGTGTAATGTTACCATCTTACAATTTAAGGTTGTTGTAACCTTATGGCAATATTAATATGCTGTGAGGGTAATTACTTATTTTCAGTATTAAAAATACTAGATAATAAGTAATTATCAATGATTCTTAGTATGATATTTCTATAAGGGTGGTGTTATTATCATTCGCCTAAAACATATGACTCTTGTAGGTTAGCATGATTTTCTCTTATTGTTTTTTCTTTAATGGTTTAATGACTAATATCTTTATGCATTAAGAAGTCTATATACATTTATATGAGATTGTATGAATCCCCGTAGAAGACAATGATTGCTACGAGACATTTTGACAGCGTGCATCATATCCATCACTGGAAATGTAAAACTGCTCAACTTTAAACTTTTCCTTCTGTAATGTACAGTAAATAAGTTTGATTTTAAAATATTGAGTGATATGAAAATGAATGAAATTTTTACCATGACAAACTGCTTATTAATATTGATTTACGCTTGCGCTATTCTTTCTTTTGATAAAAAAATCTTTCCTAATTTACAATGTGAAAATGTAAGTTTAACAGAAATGTCTCACAAGATCCAATTAATAATAACAATATGTAAGAAATATTTGAAAATACGACTACATTTTTTTTCGAAATTTTATAAAGGACAGAAAAAGAATGTTAATTCCTTTATTATAAAATATTATATATTATATATTGTTTAAATATTATATATTGTTATATTACGTATAGTTTTTAAGTTTCAAATTATTGTATATTATATTATTGTAATACATTTGTAATACATTCAAACATACACAACTCACTTAATCCCAAATAGCCAAACCTGTGCGAGCAGATTTTACGCAGAGTCTGTCAACAGTATCTGTTGACAGAATGGCAACAGACTGCACACAGAAACTGTTTTAGCAGTCTCTGACGACAGATTGGTGACAGACTGCGCGCAGAGCCTGTCGACAGATTCTGACGACAGACTGACGGCAGATTGCACGCAGATTCTGTTTCCTAGATAGGCTATTTAATTCTATTAAGGGCCATATGTACGTTATTAAATGGGGCAGTTTCACATACACACCATGCTGCAGAGAAGTCAAGATAATTATATTGTGCAATAATTGTACACATATACACAATAAAAAACAATGTTTATATTTTAAAATTGTATTACACATTTTTTATAAAAAAAAGCAACAATAATAGAGAAATAACGAGTACAAGTATAGAATAGTACAACGGTTAAATGGCCATTTAAAGGCGTACACATGTCATTCCTGGTAAAAATTGTTCTCATAATTTTTCATACAATTTCTCATCTTATTATTTTTTTAAATGTTGTTATGTCATTAAATCCGATTTAACCGTCATGCAATAAGTATTGAAGGCAGCAGCACCGAATAAAATATTAGTCTCGCTATGTAAATAACTTTTACAGAATTTTTTTGATGGTTTATTTAAAAATATATCATGCTTCGATTTTGATAAAACTTAATACAATCTGAACGGGACGATCGACCAATTTAATTCGCACATGTAAAAGTACAGTATTTTATTAACATGATAGAAAAATGTCATTATCTGCTGTTTTATTGCAGTAATTTTCTATACATTCCTTGGTAGAAAATTAATTTCGAATTATCGTACCAGTCTTTCTTACATTATTTATACGCTAAACGGTTTCGTCTATATTTTGCGGCTTAAAAGGCGAATAAACTATAATATTTTTCTTCCTTAAACTTTAAATGGGCAATACAAAGCGCTTTTTATCAAGTGAGGAATTGGCGTAGTGTCTAATAGCGAATTCGGTTGCTTGCACTAGTGTGCATTTAAAATGTTTTTAAATATGTATTTAAGACACGATCTTAAATATAAGAATGTACTGTAAACAAGCCTTAATGCGCACTCAGTGCGCACTAGTGCAAGCTACCGAATTCGCTATAAGGCGACGGACGATTATCCAAAAGATGTCTTCAGTTCAAGTTCGAATCTCACTAGAGAAAATATTAAAAATTATGAAAAAATAATGTAGAACAATTTTTTTTGTCATAGTATTTTATGAGTATTTATGAGAAAGCGCTTATTTTATGAGTAATTATGAAAAATTATGAGAAAATTTAATTGAAGAACCTACGAAACGACAGGATCTGCGCGCAATCTGCAGCCAATCTGCCGTCATAGTCTGTTGACAGGCTCTGCGCGCAATCTGCCGCCAGTCTGTCGTCAGAGTCTGTTCGCAGACCCTGTCAACAGTCTGGCGGCAGATTGGGGACGCAGATGTCTATGGATCTGTCGACAGATCCTGCTCGGATTCAACAGATCCTGTCGACAGTCTGACGTCAGTCTGCGCGCAGATTGCTTACTGGGATGGATGTGCAATAGATTTTCACGTTTAATTTTTATTGAATTTTAGTACGATCTCTGTTGCATTATAGCTTTCCAAGTAGAACATAAGAATCAAAATGATATCAATTTGACGTCGTTTTGACCAAACATCCCAGCAAACACAATGTTACATGTAACGTACATGTTAGTTGTAATTTCCTACTCAACAATATAACTATTATATAACATGCATGTTAT